TGGAGATCGGGACCTGTGTACATGTCATTATTAATGCTTCTCACAGTCATTCTACAGAGACTGGGCTACGCCCTGACAGCACGAGCTACTAAAACTAAGACTTTCGCTTTAAATCTCCTTGATATATGTATGCTTCATTTTGCTACCTACCAAATCGTGTGGACTGGATATTGTTGAGTCCAATTTTGAGTTTATCCATAAGTTGACTGCTAAACATTACGCCAAAACTCTTCAGGTGAGTTTTCAAGTGTGAAACAACATCTCCCAGGTTATAGGAAAAAAGCGTCTTAGCACAAAGCACATCCACGACTGACTGCAAATAACCCAGCCTAGACGTCCAGTCATAATGCGATGATCTTTCCAAAAACAACAGCACAGCTGACTCCAACTGTTCCACAGATCTACCATTCTGGAGAATGTGCAACAGAGGCAAAGACTGTAGTTTGATTGTTGATACAACAGAGTTTGCATGATATTCTTGGGCGGATGGAAAATGCTGCATAGTGGATTCCATATGGACTGCACTTCCTAAAGTCTCCAACATGCTAGTGTGCTTGCTCATAAGGTCTTTGACATCCTGAAAACAACAAATCATGGTAGCAAATAAAAGACACAATATTCATTACTTCATCTTGACAACTCAACAACCTAAGCCGCGAAGATTCACCAAGTGATGGCCAAATAGGCTAGTACGGCTGGCCATCGTTTTCTTCATTAGCACTCATCGTCAATAGCCCATTTGCGAATTACCCTTGGCCTCATTTTCAAAACGAGTCCTCGTGCTCAACCATTCTTGTGAAAATGAGTTTAATTTGCATGTGAATGGAAACTTATTATCATATGAAAGGATTAGCACGAGGACTCGTTTTGAAAATGAGGCCAAGGGTTATTCGCAAATGGGCTATTAAACATTTCTTTCCGAGACCATATAATGAACCTGGAAATATGATTGCACTTACCTACCAAATAAAGACTTTCTGGCCACTACCAGTTTTCTTAACCCACTTGGAACTGCCAATAGTTTGATAAGTTTGGAATTTCTATAATTTCTGTCTTTTGATTGCCATAATTATAATTTACAGTAATATGAAGATGATGACTCATTCCACCACCCAAACAATGACTGAAACTGTGATTCATATTATGTAGAGGTACTGGAAAAATACCTGTACCACACCATGAATTGTTATTTTGCCAATCAAACACTACAGAGTTGTTACTAATTCCTCTTTAAGATCAATACCTGTTTGCTCTGCACAGAAGTTTGATTTCGAGCATAAACTTGATTCAGAGAAGTTACAACAGCAGAGAATTCTTCACTTCCTCCCTGAAGGAGTTGCTTTGTCAGTGAGGCTGCATGAAGCATATCCAGTAGAGAACCTGGGAGAAGTGAAAAGGCCAATAAACTATGACAGTACTACCTTTTCAAACACTGTTGTCCCAAACGTGGAACAGAGAGGAAATTCGGAGTCCCCATGAGGTATTATACCTCAGACCTTCCATTTTCACGCTCCGACACTCTATCCTTGAGCCGAAGAGACTCCATGATGAGCAAGGCCAATACAAGGTTTATAAGTCCCACAAACCTTAGGGTGAGAAGATATAACAAGAAAACTAGGAAAAGAAAGGTGTTGAAGAAGCAAAGGCCCGCTTTATTACAGCACGTTTACTCAGCATTCGATTTATTAACTCTTTTAATAAGCACGTCAAGAAGTAGTTAAGTCCTAAGGAACAGAAAAACGACCTTTACAAAAGTATACTAACAGGTAAGACGGGAAAAATAAATGCAACAATACGACGAAACAAAATACTACCAAACACTGAAGGAATAAACGAAACACGAAACACATGTAGGAAAAAGGTTTACATCGGAACACACTGCTAAAAGGGGCGTGAAACATGATACATGGATAGGGCGGCGTAATTTACGTAAAGTGCGAAAATAACAGTGTAAAATGATACGTGGAACGACGAAAAGAATAAGCGTAAATTAATGGTGCGAAAATTAAAGACCTTTAAGTAAGAAATCAAGAAAACTCTATACACACACACTACAACAGATGATAAAATTAAATCCTGGTGGAAATTATACCATTTCAAAGTTTCTTACTTTATCCTAGCGTCTAGGTCCCACCCATCAAAAATCCGTTAAATGGCTTTTTAACTCTATCCTTCTCACTCTATAAGTAGTGCTTCTCAAGGCATTCAAATTTACTTTTGAATAACTTAAATTACGTGAATCACCAGCACATAATTCCCAACATTTGGGGTAGTGCTCACCTCTACATTAAATGTAATGAAACCTACCTCCCATGTCTTTGTGGAAAGCTACAAGACAATCACAAATCGTTTTGTCTTCTAGACCAAGACCATTAAGCATCATTTGGTAATCACAGTCGTCGTAATTCTCTCCATTCTCCTAAAAAAAGGCGAGAATGTACTCTTGAAAACTTCAAGAAAGCAATAGTTGTGCCGCCATGAACACTTTTGTCACGCTTTCAAGGAGAAAAATGTTAAAGCCCATGATTTTTAAAAGAGTCTTGTTGATTTTTGTTGTGCCAAACCTCATATTTAGTCTAATACTAGCTGGTTGGTCTTCCTGCCGGAATTGTTTGCATTAAGACATTCAGGATATTGCTACCCCACCTCATGGAGGGGTTGCTAATATATCACAAATAAGTCCTGAAGATTACCAAGTCAATTCATACTCCAAGTTGGCAAATAATTTGTGGGAGAAAAGAATTCTGCTCAGAAACAAGGCCAAAAAGTGGACCTCTCTGTCAACCGTGTCTTGCATGCCACATCATGCCACCCCCATGGGCCACCACACCCCTCCAACTGGTCATCATATTCAGTCTCATTTTTAACATACCTCTCCCAACATGAAAATTTCCACTCCTCTATTGCGCATTGCTCTTGAGATTTCACCATATCTTGGATCCATGGCAAGAATCAACCTGAAAAGGGACCAAAACCAACAAGGCAACTTACATGAACTGCCACAGCTTTTGAGTCAAATACAAAGCATGTGTATGATAGATATAATCTAACCTGAAATTAGGGTGTGGCTTGATGGAGGGGATTTGGCCATCAATAACCCCTCTTTCATCAATCGTTAAGACACCTCCAGGTTCCAACAAAGCATTCAGTCTGTCCAGAACAGATGGACTGGAACGAGAAAACAAGTGAAAGTCAACATATGTCAAAACTCCTTAAGGTTAACATGAAATTGTCCAACTCCTGGCTTTCCTTCATTAATTTTACTAATTCATTATGGTGGTTTCAACATTCGATTGGATATCAAGTAGTCGCTTGACACCATATACTCCTGCAGAAACTAAGTTTCAATTTGCCTTGGGATTAGCAGATGAAGAACCAGCCCAAATTCTTGTTGTTATACAATAACTTATGTTACCTGCAGAAGTTGACATTATCTATCAGAAGCCAGTAACCAGACTTGAGGGCCTCCACAAGTTGTCCATCAACCCATTCAAACTGCCCACCACAGTGGGAACTGTCCTTGTTAGCTGTAAGTTTCTTTTGTAATGACTGAACCCTCTCCATGATGTTAACTACATAAAAAAGCAAATATCTTCATGAAACTAAATATAAGACCCAGCACATCCACTAGCCTGGAGGTGAGCCCACTGTACTCCCAATGAAGAGGTCTGGGTTTGACCCCTGCCACCCCTCCCTCTCGAAGTGCCTCTCCACACCCAGGAATAGAAAGAAGTATTGGCCTATTGTCAAGAAACGTAACAAAATGCTGGAGGGGGAGGGGGGAGAGACCTGCATGGACTAACAATACTCCTAGTCCCTTTAAGGCACAGAGGTTAGCTCAGGCTGTGTAGCCTATTGGTTCAAGAGGAAGCTGCACCTTTGTATGTTTAAGTTCACTATATAGGGTTGGAGGAACTTGATGACCAAGGGTTACATCATTTGATACAGTTTATACAGATAGCAACTTTGATTCAACTCCATTTGATTTGATTTGCAAACTATGAGTAGATTAAAAATCTAGTTTGTCATCAGTAGCCAGGCAAGTTGCCAATAAAAATTTTCATAACAGACAGTTTAGACAAAACATCATCAGCATCATTGTTTGTTAATATACAAGCAACGTTGTTAAAAGGTTCCATCAAGGAGCAATTAAACTAAGCCCTGGAACAACCAGGAAATAAGTAAATGACAAGACCCCATAAACAAGAGCTTTCGCAAGTAACTGTTACGGGTAAGAACATACCTGCATCGGAAGAATTTAATTCATATCTGCTACAGATCTCCTGGACTTTTTTAAGGAGATGTTGCAAGTGATCCAGTCTCTTGTGAGATAGCTTTTCAGGGTTTTCATCTTCAGAAACTGTGCAAAAGACAAAAAAAAATCTCATTAACCTCAGCAAAGTACCTACCACAAAGAAAAAAAATCCACAGGTGAAATGTTATTAAAACAGGTGGTGTGTCAAGTACAGGTTTATCTCTACCCCGTCCAAGGAGACAGACCTTCCCTTACCATCTCCCTTGCTGATCCCCTGGACACCACCATATGAACTAAATTACTGTTTACAGAATGCTGAGCACAATTAACAAGCCTCAGGTAAGCAACAACACTAATAGGCTTTAAGTGTAATGTAATGATGGTTTAATTTTACACAAATGAAATCAAATTCATGACATCTCAGAGGAATTAAGGGAGTAAGAATGGAAATTTCAATTCTACCTGATTCTACTTCATTGGGGAAAAGACAGCAAAACTTTAATTCAAGCAAAAGGAACCATCTATTACCCACAACCCCATTCAGCATTATAACATTGTTTTACAAAAGTGTGCACCCTGATTGGTTAATACACTCTATCCATTTTCCCAGGGGTTGCATTCATTACTTTTTTCTTCTACCCAAAATGAATGATGTTTGAAGGTCTCAATGTTATAAAAGAAATGGTTAGAGTGCACCATCAAGTTACAGATGCACGCAGGAAGTTGCTAAACACAAAAGAAGTGCAAGAGTCATTTGAGGTGATAACTGAGTGCGACTCTAACTTCTTGAGTGCTTAGCAAACCTCCCTAGTGCATCCATGACTTGATGGCTGCATGCTGCACACCAGCCACTTCTTAAAATTAATGTGCTGCAGACTTTCACAACTTTGAATAAGAGCCTTTAAAAAGGGTTTATTCATCACACAATATGTATACATGTACACACCTTCAGAGTCATTACTCGAGCAGGCAGACCACAGCTTATACAAAGAGGATATTTCTTGCAAACATGTTCTCATTTGATCACTGCAGATTAAAATCTCTCTTATTATTGCTAGGATAAGCTGCCTGGTTCCATCTATGATATCTCCCAAGCGTCTGTTTAGATCTGCCTGCAAATACAATATCAGTCAGTAAAAATTACGTAACTTACATATATCTTATTAACCAAGCGCAAGGGCCATACTGGGAGAATATCAGCCCGAGGTCTTGACAGTATGCACCAAGCACAGCAAGGTTCGTACAAAAAAGACCGAGGGCCGATGTTCTTCTAGTATGGTCCCGAGCAAGCTTGGTTAATAAGAGATTTATTATACGACTGAAGTTCAAAGGGACACAAGTGCGGTATCATTCGGGACCATTCAGGACAGTGCCCCGTCCAATACTGAGAGAATATTGACCGGCAATAGAGCATTTTGATTGGTTGATTTTAGTTATTGGCCTCTGACTGCCCGAGTCGTGTAATAACATCACTTATTACTGTCTCTCTCAATGAATGGAGAAAACAATTCACACTAAAAGAAGTAACATCTTTTTAAAGTATTTGAACAGTGCTGATCAATTAGGTATGACCAATTACCCTTACAGCATAAAAGGAAGACACTAGAAATGTACTGGTAAAGATAATTAATTTTGTTCCATTTGAATAATATTAAGGGTTACAAAAAACATCATGTGACTGTCTGGAGCAGGTATATATTTCTATTGGATGACATGCTGAGATTGAGATTTTTTGTTATCCTTGAACATACTTGTTCAAATCCACCCAAAAGTTCAGTGGTGTCCATGGCACTATTCATAGCCATAACTTCAAGTCTATTTCCTGTCAGCTGGGCAACAAGATGGACCAGGGATGTCTTTCCACAAGATCTTGGACCAACCTAGTTAATGAAAAAAACAAATTTAGTGCACAACTCATTATGTTTAATAACATGTTCCACACTTCACTCGTGAAAAACATGCCCTGGGACAAACAATATACTTTAGATTCATGTTTATTATTCTTTTGTTTTTCTCTGACTCTTTTCAGGTCCAAAATATCACTAACAGGTGCAAAAAGGCAACTGCAACTATAAGGAAACAAGAGAACCAGCCTTGAAATTGAAAGACAGAAATGGTACGCAATGTCAACTTAAAAATCTTGATATAAAACATAGCAGTTTCCTGGACACCAGTATTAGAACCATCCATCTAGTATTTGGTGCATTGCTACTCACCAGTATAGCCATCCAGTTCATGTCTAGACAAGTCATAACTGACTCCATGGCTGGCAGACAACAATGAAGCATTTGCAAAGACCTTCCACCATTTATGGACTGGTTCACTGGAGAACACCTTGGAAGCCACGAATGGCCGACCTTTATAAAGTACAGTTATAATCATTAGTTGTAAAGCCAAACCCAGGACCATTATTCTTTAAGAAATTTGAGTTAATTAATCTTCATGTGCTACACCAAAGTTGATAGATTCCCTAACAAACTCACCTGAACATGACCTGGTGTGATGTAAAATGATTTGCATGCAGGACCAATCTTATCGATCGGCCCTGAATTCTCAAATATGGACTTGAACAACCTGAGCACCTAGTCCATCCAAGTGCAAAAATAAGAACAAACAAGAACAAGAATGGTAAAAATCAACAAATAAATAATGTGAAGGCGGTGGTTCACAACTTGAACTTCTATATAAAAATAAATTAATGTATACCTGGTGCTTGCCACTAAAGTGAATAACTACTGATCCTCTGGGAGACCTAGACCCATCACTTTCTACTCTTTTTCTATTTTTAATTAATAGCAAAACATTTATAAATATTTGTGGAACTGACACACAATGCAAAGCAATTCCAACTCCAGAGGACAATTTCAAAAATACAATTCTAACGTGTGCCTGTAAATAGTCATCATGGTGACTTAATAAGGAGTTACTCCACATCTACAGGTCCTACTGCTCCTGAATTAATGTAAGAAAAAAATTTCTTTTGAGTTTAACTTTAGCTTACAAAGGTAAACCTACTTTTGCCTGAACCAAACAGTAATTTGTCTTACCATCTGTTTGTCTTGCAGTGTCCTCATTCTGTCACAGTAAATGAGATGCACAAACTGACCAGGGTTCCAAGTGCCAAAATTCTAGGAAGCAAAGAGTTCATATGCAAACCTTTTGAAATACTAATGAAAACTACATTCCCAGCAACACAACATATTCTGAGTCAAGAATAAGGTCACAAAAAAAAAAAAGCTTCAGAAAATTTACCTGGTATTTTACTAGCAAATCACACCATCTAAACACATCTCTTAGGTTAAGTTCCCATGGGCCACCTTTCCTTCCCCAGTGTCCCATCACAACAGTCTCTTCATGAATCTAGCCAGCAAGAAAAAAATACGACCTTCCTTGAACAACAGAAGCAACAAAAAAATTATACAACTAAAATTCAAGATATAGCTAGTATTCAGGTCCTGTAGATATTTTAAATGATTGGTAAATCAGGTACGCCCTTCAGCCAATTAGCCTGTTACAAGAAGAATTGACAAAATTTTTCAAACTAAACTATCAATGTCAATGTTGCCATACACTGTGCATTTACCTGCTGATTGAATGTCACCATCTTTTCCAATATGTTGTGATCTATTTGTGGATAAAGAGCCTCTGTAATGAACAGTAGGTCTGCTTTGGAGAGTGGCTCAACATAAACCTGGGATAAAACCATAATTTAGTAAAATATGTATTTTACACAGGGCTGCGAAGGAAAGGAGAAACCTGTGGTTATGACAAACAACTGCAGCCCTTCAAATGCCAAGATCTAAATGTTAACCACTTCAATTAACTCTCAATATTTCCATATCTCTACAAACATTTTGATAAAATTTTAGACCTCAGAATTTAGTGCCAAATTAAATAATATCTCCTTATTTATGTTTTCTGTCTCCTCCATGTTTTAATGCTCCAAGGACAAATTATATTTTGATTGTTCCTGGGAGTTAAAAACATCACAGAATATAAACAATATTTTTCAATGAAAGAGGTATGAATCTTTTCATAGAATTATTTCAGTTTACCTGAGTGAACCTGTTAAGGAAAGACTTTGGCAATCCTTTTCTTCCTCCACCCTGGTTTAAAGGATTTTGACAGGCAAACAATCTTGTCTGGTCACGCTGGACTTTGAAAGTCATTCCAAGCTCAGGGATATAAACCTGCAACAAATTAAACAAGATGTTACTAACATTTTCTACTGAGATTAACTTACAAAATGACTGACTGAGTTTGAAACATAATAACATGAAACAGAATCACCTCAGCTCTGTGGTCAAGACATGCATTGAGTCCTTCAAGAACAGACTGTGAGGCTAAATTGAGCTGAAACACAAAACCACAGATATCATCATTAGTTGTTGACAGAAAATCATCACTGGCAGAGTAGACAACTATTTACCAGACCAACCCTGTAAGTAGTGATGAGTATTTTAATTCTTAAGTTCTAGCCATATGCTACCATAGGTTGAATTAAATCATTTGATGCAAACCTTTCAGATTCTGTGTTTATGTGAAAGTTATATCAGTAAAACTAAAGAGCTAATGTCAGTGAAGATTGTGTACCACATGGTTATCAGGGCACTGAAAGCTTGTATGAAGACATGTTATTAAGTTATACCTACATGCACTTCTCAACCTTTCTGTAGAATTAGTTTAAAATTATCCAAGGGATCATGCCCTAATATCCCTATAATTGGCTCATGCTCACAAGTCAACCTTTGTTTCACTACTCTATTACCACTAGAAAACTTGCTGTGCAGACCTAATCCCTGAAAATCTGAACCTCTGGAACAACATAGCATGAGGCAATGCAATGCAGAATAATGCAATGCAATGCAATGCAATGCAATGCCTCCCAGTTAGCTCAATGGATAGAGCGCTGGACTGTTGTGGGGGAGGTCAAGGGTTCCGAAATGGTTAGATATTCTAGTCTTCTCGGATAGGGATGAATAAATGGAGGACCCGTCTCCTGCAGGGTTGGGGTAAGAGCCATTTAATTTCCCACGCACGAGATTACTGTGTGATGGATGTCCTCCCCTAGAGTGGGATGAGTGGGTGTTTTAGAGGGCCACTGGGGAGAATACTTTCAAAAGTAATTGGTGTCACCCTCTTAAAATAAAGGTTAATATTATTATACCTCATCCAGGACAATCCAATGGCCAGCTTTCAGTGCCTTCAAGAGTGGACCATCCCTCCATACAAACTGTCCTACTTCCCCACCCTCAACTGGCAAGTCCGATCCAAACAAGTCCGTCACATCCTTGGACAACAATAAAAGAGAATGAATTTGAATGGAAGAAACAAATATGAATTGCTACTGCTTTCCTACCTGCATCTGATACTGATTGAACAAACAAAGTTACCAAATATAGCATACGCTTTACTTATCAACCCTTTAACAATTATGAGAGAACAGAATTGTATTCTCTTAACAGTACCACTGCTGCATCAAACATTAAAGGTCGCACAAGGCTGTGCTCTAAGAAAAATTAAAAGGGAACCCAGTGCTCAGAAACTGTGAAATCCAGGGTACCCAGCATTTGCTCTTTTTATAAAAAAAAACTAAGATTCTTGAGATGCCTAAGAGCACAAATAAGGTGCC